CATGTGGCAGCTCACACCACTTGTAACTCTAGCTCCAAAGGATCTGATGACCTTTTCTGGCCTCGGCAGGCACTGCACTTATATGCACATACCCTGAGTCAGACACTTGGGAATTAGAGGCTTGCTTTTGTGACCCCTATCACTCTGCCCAACCAACAGCATCCAAATCTCACTGTAGTTTTGAAGTCATGTAACTAAACCCTGCCCCCATCTCCATTCTTTTCATTCATGGTCTTTTTTCCTCTATACCCTGGAAAGGGAACTGGGGTTGGAGGGTAGGATTTAAAGGTTATGAAAGTGGGATGTGGAATTCACAAGAATTATCATGGGATTATCTTCATTCACCCAGCAAACAGCTCAGGGCTGCATCATTCACCCTATATTTTTTATGAATGGCACTTCTTCCATTTAAATATAACATAAATAGTGTCCTTGAAGTTGACCATCCAGTTGGTAGGGATGAGGAAATTATTACTTTTTGTGGAGATAAGGTCTCAATGTATAGCTCAGGGTGGCCTCCAAATTGGAATCTTCCTGCCTCTGACTCCTGAATGCTGGGAGTATAGGTATGTGCCACCTCAGTTCACTCTAGGAAACTGAAATAGAAAGGAAGCCAGGTGTGGTCACACACACCTTAAATCCCGGCACTCAAAGGGCAGAGGAAGGTGGATCTCTTTGAGTTCCAGGCCAGCCAGGGTTACTTGGGGGGACCTTGTCTCAAAACAAACAAAACTTTTTAGTTTCCATTTATTTTTTTCTTTTCCTGTTCTGGGATTAGAATCTAGAGCTTGCAGCTAGTGCGGTAGCACACACCTACAATTCCAGCACCAGGGAATGGGGATATAGGAGGATTAGTAGTTCAAGGCCTGCCTCAACTACATAGGTCAGGGCTAGCCTGGGCTAAATGAGACTTACTTTTTTTTTTTTTTTTTTTTTTTTTTTTTGGTTTTTCGAGACAGGGTTTCTCTGTGTAGCTTTGCGCCTTTCCTGGAACTCACTTGGTAGCCCAGGCTGGCCTCGAACTCACAGAGATCCGCCTGGCTCTGCCTCCCGAGTGCTGGGATTAAAGGCGTGCGCCACCACCGCCCGGTGAGACTTACTTTTTTAAAATGAATTTAAAGTCTACTTGGCAGTCACTGTACTAATGAACTACATTTCTTGCTTCCTAGGTTCCTGTTCTATACAAGACATTAAAATGTGGGAAATTCCACATTAAATATATAATTCATAAATAATATAGTTGGGTTGCTCTTAATAATTGAAATATTACTATATTTATATACATTTAATAAAAAATTATTGTTTAGTACCTGCAGTGGCCCATGCCTATAATTCTAGCACTTGGGATGTGGAGACAGGAGGATCATGAGTTGAAGGCAAGCCTGGGCTACACAAGACCCCGTCTCAAAAAAACAAAGACAGGGGGCTGGAGAGATAGCTCAGAGGTTATGAGGACTCACGGTTGATTCCCAGCACGCACATGGAAAGTTAGAAATGGAGATTAAAAAAAAAAAAAAAAGAAGAAGACAGGGACAGCAAGATGGTTGAGTGGGTGAGGATTCCTGCCACCAAACCGGCTTGAGTTCCATCCCTGGAATCTACTTGGTGGACAGTGAGAATCAACTCCCACAAGTCGTCCTCTGGCCTCTACACAGGTGCCCTCACCACACACACAGAATGTGGTGGAATGTTAGCTTAAGGTGCATTACATTCGTTTACGCTGTGGAATATTTGTTTAATGATGCAAAGATGTGTTGTATTCTTTTATGTTGCATTTGTTTAACTCCGTAAAGTTGTGTTACTTTGCCTGTCTAAAACACCTGATTGGTCTAATAAAGAACTGAATGGCCAGTAGCTGGGCCAAGAAAGGATAGGCAGGGCTAGCAGGCAGAGAGAATAAATAGAAGGAGAAATCTAGGGAAGAGGGAGGAGCGAGAAAGGAGAAGGAGAGGAGGATGCCAAGGGGCTGGCTACCCAGCCACACAGCCAGCCACAGAGAGAGAAGGAAAGAAAGATATATAGAATAAAGAAAGGTAAAAAGCCCACAGGCAAAACATAGTTAAAGAGAAATGGGATAAATTAAGTTAGAAAAGCTGGCTAGAAATAAGCCAAGCTAAAGCTGGGCATTCATGAGTAAGAATAAGTCTCCGTGTATTTATTTGGGAGCTGGGTGGCAGGGCCCCAAAGGGGGAAAACAAAACTCCAACAGAATAAATAAAAGTTGTAAAAAAAATTAAAGAGAAAAAAACAAAATTTATGTTCATATTTTGGAGCTCAGTGAACATTTTTGCAGCACCCTAAACACCTATGCCTATATGCCTGGTGGAAAAAAATAATTCCAGTGGAGACTTCTGATCTTTATCCCACTGGAAGGCCATTGTTTGGACTGAGCACCTGCATAAGGCTCTGGGAAACCAGAGCAAGGCAACATGGAGTCACTCGTACTAAATCCTGTATAACATCAAACTGAGTATTTAGAGAAGCAGATAGACCCCACGGTGGACCAGCTGCTACTAAAACAGAGGGTCCTGATCTTGAGTCATCGTACTAAAGAGTTCTCTGTCTGCTTTGAGTCTTACAAAAGGAAGCAGAAGTGGGCTGGGAGTGTAGGTGAGTCACAGTGCTCTAGCTTAGTGTGCCCAAGGCTCTGGGTTCAACCCTAGGACTGGGACAAAGGAAAAGTGATTCGATCCTTATTTTCTCTTGTTGGGTTTCCTGGTGCCCACTGGTCAGCGTTTCCCCCTTTGTTCTATTTCTCTGTTTCCACTTTACAAGACCCACTGTGTTCTGCTACTACTGGTGTGAGTCTGCATTCTATTTATGGAATGGGGGCAGTCTATTTATGAATCACGAAGGAAAGCAAGTTAGATCGATGAGTGACTTTGTCGTTATTTTGTCTTGGAGGTGCACATGCTATGGTATGTTGAGGTCAGAGGACAACGTGTGGGACTTCCCTCCTTCAACCAGGTGGGTGCCAGGGATCAAACTCAGCTTGTCAGTCTTGGCAGCAGGTCCCTTTACCCACTGAGACATCTCTCCCTGGGATGTTTTGTCTGTTGGCAGGGTGTTGCCCCTGGAACATTTTCCCTGGTAAGACTTACCTGTTGCCCCTTTCTCAGGTTTTCAGCCCGGAACCCCTTTTCTTTTTCTTTCTTTTTTTCCTGGAGCTGAGGACCGAACCCAGGGCCTTGCGCTTGCTAGGCAAGCACTCCACCACTGAGCTAAATCCCCAACCCTGCCCCTTTTCATAATGCATTCCATTAGCTTAGCCTGCTCTCAAACTCACATTTGGTCTGCTGTGTGAGCCGCAGGCTGGAAATTCATGGACTCATTCCTTCAGTTTGAGCTTATTGAGCCCTACCGTGTGGTGGCCATTCCATCAGTGAGAGGAGAAAAGGTGATGAGTTGAAGCGGTTCCTCGTGGGGAGCAGAGTAAGCCCCGAGTGAATGTGTAAGGAGTGGACGGAGCCAAGGAAGTTCGGAGTGAATCTGCAGTGTTGACATGGCACAACAATGCCTCAGACCCTGGAAATTGGCAAAGCCTTCCTCCCCATGAGGCTCAGAAGAATGGCCAAGCTTTTCTCCGGTCGAAATACTAGTGTTTACAAATAATTGAGCAGTGTGTGCAAAAGCTAGCAACTTCGGCTTCCCTCCTCAGAGATGCCTACAACCTGAGATTGCTCTCTACCTAGGCCTTCCGGTGAGACTAAGTCAGTCCTCCTTCTCCTGTGCATAATGGACAGGAACTTCTTGGAGTTGTGTAGTTCACGCCCACCACCAGAGCAAGCACAGCTCACCTGATTCCAGCTTTTCTGTAAGTGTGTCTGTGTGTCTGTCCTTTCTTCATTCCCTCATTACCCTAGTCAGGTTTCTAGGACCAAGCCATGTCGGACGCAGTGGTTCCCAGCACTCATGCAAAGTCTTATGTTCAATCCTCAGCACTTCCCTTTGTCCTCAAAAAGAACTGTTCTGAGTCCAGAGAGAAGAAAGACAGCTGTACAGTGTGGTGAGGGCTCAAGGCAAGCTGGCTGTGTTCTTAGAGCAAACACTGGGAGACAGTCCACAGTAAGTGCCTTATTTATGGTGCACAAGGAACAGAGGGTTGAGCAAGGCATGGTGTGTGTGGTCAGAGAAGGGAGACAAGTCAACAAACCACTAAAGTAACTTCGCTGCTAGGTTAATAGCATGCTGTGCAACTGCTCTGTAGAATAATTTGACTGGAGTGCACACATACCATCTAACCAAGCCTTTCCACTCCTATGAATACCCATCCAAGTGTAACGTGGTAGAAGTCTAGGCGTGCTGGTGCACACCTTTAATCTCAGGACTCCAGAGGGAGGCAGAGGCAGGCGGATCTCTGTAAATTCAAGACCAGCCTGGTCTACATTAGCAGGTTCCAGACCAGCTAGCCAGAGCTACATAGTGAGATCTTGTCTCAAAAAGGAAAGGAAAAAAAAAAAAAAGGAAGAACTGAATATCTGTCAATAGACAATGAATTCCGTCAGTTGAAGTGATCTCTAAAATGGAATGTGAACTAGAGATTCATAGCAATGGGCAATAGGTGTTGTGTGCTGACATACAAAAAAATCTTCACAATAGTTTCATTAAGTGAAAAATGCACACACACACACACACACACACACACACACACACACACACACACATCCCTGTGTATATACATTATTCAAATGGAAGAGGAAGAAGAGCAGCTATTATGGTCGTTATTTTAACAAGTATATCTGGCCAGGTGTGGGGGTTCAAGGAGAAGGTAAAAGTATGCTCAGAGTAAACCTGGTTTACATACAGCCACAGCTATATAGTGAAACTATCTCAAAAAACTAAATTAATTGAGCTGGGTGGTGGTGGCACACACCTTTAATTCAAGCACTCAGGAGGCAGAGGCAGGTGGATCTCTGTGAGTTTGGGGACAGCCTGGTCTACAGAGCAAGTTCCGGGACAGCCAGGGCTACACTGAGAAACCCTGTCTCAAAACGAAAACAGTTCTATTTTCGGCAGCACGTACACTAAAATTGGAACGATACAGAGAAGATTGGCATGGCCCCTGCTCAGGGGTGACACACAAATTCGTGAAGTGGTCCATATTTTCACAAGTGGCAGTTGCTGGCTATGATGGCTGTGTGCTTTGGATCTGGATTTACTGCTCCCTTCTTTTTTTTTAATTATTTATTTTATTTGCATTGGTGTTTTGCCTGCATGTATGTCTATGTGAGGGTGTCAGATCTTAGAGTTACAGATAGTTGTGAGCTGCCATATGGGTGCTGGGAATTGAACCCGGGTCCTCTGGAAGAGCAGCCAGTGCTCTTAACTGGTGAGCCATCTCTCCAGCCCCTGCTGCTCCCTTCTTTGTAGTAAGGCACCAGCTACTTAAAAAAATGAGGATATTTAATTCATCCCTGTAACAGATAGAAGATTGTCTAAGAGATGTGATCTGAAAATTGATTGGATCAAACTCTTGACCTCTTATTGCTAAATAAAATTGTAAGTAAACTAGTGACATAAAGACAAAAACCAAACCGAACAACTTTCAGTTCCTCTTTACCCTGGCACCTTTTCCTCGTCTATCATCCGCTGGCCTGAGCCCTTATCCTTGCTCCTCTGGGCCGTTTTACCAGCCTCCTGCCTCCTACAATCCTTTTTCTTTCGCTACAAAGCCAAATAGTTGTTCTTAAGCAGAAATCAGACCATGGGTTCACCCAGGGCCCTGTGGCTGTCCATTGCCTGAAGCCCTCACCAGACCCATGAGACCCCAAAGGCCGACCTCGGGTTGTCTTTGCCTCAATCTCACCGCCTGTCTGTCTCCCCAGGCTTTGCTGAGATGCTAAACTTGCTCTTGCCGTGAGGCCTTTGTACTCACTGGTCCTCAGTCTAGGCATCACTACCTGCCCACCCCTACCCTCCCACCTGCCCACCCCTACCCTCCCAGCTAGGTCTCTATTACATTATCTAATTATTTTCTACCCAACATTCACCCATACAGGAAAATGTGATTTGCGTTTTGTGTTTTCTGTTTTGACTTAAGACAGAGCCCAGCGACTCTGGAGCCTGTGGCAGGGCGATCACGTATTCAAGGCCTGCCTGGACTATAGAGTGAGTTCAAGGCTATCCTAGGTAAGTTTGTGAGATTCTGTCTCAAAATACAAATAGAAAGAGAATGGGGATACAGCTCAATGGTAGAGTCTTTGGCTACCATGTGTGAGGCCCTGGGTTCAATCCTCAGAACTGAAGGAAGGGGAAGAATGAATGGATGTAAAGGGCAAAGAAAGAGAACCCAACCAAGGTGGGCTCAGACAGCATTCTGAAACTAGAACACCAAAGCAGGACTTCTTGATTGCCATATGCTCTGGAAACTTCCCAGCTCTCTCTTTCCAAAGCCAGAGGCAGAGGCCTCATTGACACCCCGTGTTCTGTACTCTAGTGTCTGGGGAGGTGAAGTTAGGGACTCAAAGGACTAAGCTGCATGGTGGAGTAGGGGACATCCCCCAGCTCATGAAACAAGGAATCCTGGACCTGAGAGGGGAATGCCCAGTGGGGCTCTCAGGAGACAAGCATGGGCGTTTAAGGGGTCACCGTCTTCATGCCAAATCCTAAAATACGGATGAGAAGCCAGGCGTGGCTGCAGTTGCCAGTTACCTGGAGATGGTAGCATGGCCTGAGTCCAGGGGTTCAAGACCAGACTGGGTGACATATCAAAATCCTATCTCCACAGTCACAGAAACAGGAAGGTTCTGGAAGATTCTGTGCAAGTCCCTCCTACTTCAGATGTGAAGTAAAACCTCATTCAAGACCACAAGCTAAATGGCTGAGGAAGGACTCCAGATGGCATGTAAAACAGCCCCTCCCCAGAGAAGACCAGTGCCCACACAGCCTTGCATACATGGGTCAGGATGGCTGTTCCACATGCCACCTAATACATGCATAAAATTCTGGAGAGCCCTCACACAGAAATTTGGTGTTTTATTTTAGACACAGTCTTACTGTCAGGGGTTCATTTTTGTTCTGAAGCAGGTTTGAGAGATAAGAGGAATTCCTGGACCTTGGGCCTGCATTCCTGAATGTAGCTGAGAGGGGCTAAGGAGGTACTGGCAGACCTGGGGTCAGCTCAGCTGGAAATCGGGCACTGTCCTTGAGACTGGGAATAAATCTGGGCTAAGGATCAGTCTTGGTTAGACTACCCCTATTCAAAAAAGATCATCTTGCTGGGCATAGTGTCATGCATGCCTTTGATCCCAGCCCTCAGTAGACTGGGGCAGACAGATATCTCTGAGTTCAAGGCCAGCTTGGTCTACATAGGAGAGTTCCAGGACAACCAGAGCTACATAGTGAGACTCTTGTCTTGAAAAAAACAAACAAAAAGCCACCTTTTTTTTTTCTTCCTAGACAGGGTTTCTCTGTGCAGTCCTGGCTGTTCTGGACTGGCTGTAGACCAGGCTGGCCTTGAACTCACAGAGATCTGTCTGTCTTTGCCTCCCAAGTGCTGGGATTAAAGGCATGTGCCATCATCTCTGGGCTGAAAAAGGCCATCTTTAGGAAGAAATATTTTTCCTATCAGAAGCTTTTGAATTATTCTTTGGACTAGGGAGGCCTTGTGCCTCTCTGGAGGACTCCTTCCAAGTAACTAATCCATACAGACCATTTCCTTGAAAACTGCACCCCAGTCTCAAGGCTCCATAGTAGGCCCTAGATTGTGGCATGGACCTCGGACTGTGGACCAGACTGTCTCCTCCCTTTCTCTGTTTGTTTTCAAGGCTCTGACCTGAGGGCTGGCTGGTGAGGTAGGCAGAAGGGAGGAGCATGAGTTCGTACACACACACACACACACACACACTCCTTTTGTGCCCCCCAGGCTGGTCAATCATTGACCGGCACTTCACAGGCCACTGGTTTCAGACCCTGGCTCAGTGACCCTTAGAGGTCACCTCCAGCATCCAGAGCCCTTCCCTGCCCCTTCCATGTTGGTGATCCCCCCACAGCCTCTTTTCTGCTGCCCAGGGTCTTCTCAGGTGAATCTCTGGGCACCTTGCTTCTGGGTGGAGTACAGGTCCTCTGTCCTACGGGCAGGCCTTCTTCCCTGTCTGTTTTCAAAGTTCTCTCACTGGGCTTGTCTCACAAACTCTCGGCCTCCAATGCCCACCCCCCTTCTCCCCAGCCTCCCCCCTCGCTCTTTGTCCCCAGACATCCTCTTTCCTTGGCTTCCCTGCCAGGCCTTGCTGAAGCGACAGTTGAGCAGAGAATCGGATCGGCATCGCCCACCCTGCCCCCCTTCCTCTCCGCTTGTCAAACACCCGAGAAGGTTTTTCCTTTCCTTCCAGGCTCTCAATGCACTCTTTCTCTTGGGGAGGCTCAGCCCTCTGGAGCCTCCTCCCCAGGGCGTGAGTTCTGACCCCAGCTCCTCCTCCTCCCTTCTCCCCCAACCCTTGCTGGCTCAGCACCCAGGCCCCGCCCTCCCTGCAGCCCACTAGGGCTGAGCATTGTCTGCAGCGCTGGGGTCTGGGATGCCCAGAACGTGGGCTTGCCTGCAGGAAGGACAGAGAGGGGAGCAGAGATTTTTTACTGGCGGAGGAACCTCTTCAGCTCCCCTACAGCAGTCTGGGGAGAGGGATGGCTCGTGGGCCCCTCGCTTGAAGATAATGTTGATGCCAGTGCTCCTGTGGCTCAGCTATGTGACCTTGGAAAGTTGCTTTTACCTTTTAGAATCACAGGGTGCCTCGTTGGCAAAATGAAGAATAAGGATACAATACCTGGGACCTCAGGGACTTCCCGAGAGGAGGGATGTGGCCGCAGAGTGATTCAGAGTGGGGGTCCAACGACTGAGGCCATCGTCAGCAGCTCTCTCAGCCGCGCTAACCGGAGAACACACGGAGGGGCAGGGCTGGGGGAGGACACCTTTAGTCTGACCTTAATGGTCTTAGCATGCCAGTGTACAGCCACCAATGACTCTGAGATCCAGGGCAGTATATCATCTCCCAGAAGAGCTGAGGAACACATAGGTTATTAGGTCCTGGGCTGGAGGATGGGGCCAGGATAAGGACTTGGTTTTGCTGAGGCTCAACTATGCCCATTGCCCTAAAACGTCCTGGACAAACTTCTTATTTTTTTTTTTTGACCCTTAATTTTCATAATCTTCAAATAGGGAAGTGTGTCTGTCTGTGTATTTCATTTTGTTATTAACATTTTTGGCCTCAAACCACCCAGTCCTCTTGCCTCGGCTTCCCAAGTGTTGCGATTATAAGTAGGAGCCCCCATATCTAGTTGAATGTTGGGGTGGGTATTCTAGGGCTGCCATGTCACACTACAGGTCAGTATTTCTTGAACATTCCGGACAGCGATCCAAGGAGTAAACCATCTGACATCATCATCTCATTTATATGTACAAACCACATGTGATTCTTACTGCATGTGATGTATGTGTGCACGCATCCTTTCTCTCCATTCCTTGTCCTTTCTCCCTCTCCCCCATCTCCATGCCCCCGCCCCATTCATGCCAGGGGCATGCAGTATCACCAAACCACAGGTCCCGCCGCCACTGCCTTGTTCTACTTCTTAAAGAAACAAAAACAGGCTGAGTGCTAGCATGCCAGCACTCTGGAGGCAGAGGCAGGGGAGTCACTACAGGTTTGAGGCCAGCCTCCTCTACATATTGAATTCCAGGCTAGTCGACAGAATGAGATTTTTTTTTTTTTGTTTGTTTTTTGGTTTTTGGTTTTTTGAGACAGGGTTTCTCTGTGTAGTTTTGCGCCTTTCCTGGAACTCACTCTGTAGCCCAGGCTGGCCTCGAACTCACAGAGATCCGCCTGCCTCTGCCTCCCGAGTGCTGGGTGCTGGGATTAAAGGCGTGAACCACCACCGCCTGGCCAGAATGAGATCTTTCTCAGGCCAAACCAAGCCAAACCAAACCTTTGTCTCTGGCCTGCTGGTCTACTTCAGTAAGGAGGGTAAGTTTCAGGCCCTTCATTTTCACTCTCGTGCCTCGTTTTGACTAATAACTTCATACCCTTCCTCTTAGAGTACCTCAAATTGATCCCCACAAGCATCGAATCTGCCCCAGAACTGCTAAACCTGGGACTGTGTACTGAGCAGTTATTGTGT